AAGCGATACGAAGCTCCACGGCGCCAATGCACCAACAGGATCGAATGATCACCCGAACCAACTGGTGGGACGCGGTCGATGACGTCGACGTCCGATGTTTGAGGAGATAACACCAGATCAACGACTGACTGGACAGAATCGTGGACGCGCGTGAGTACTGATGCAGGGTTAACTGCGCGAAGGTCTTTAGAGAATCGGTTTGCTCCCGGCAGGCAGCGATTTCGTCCTAATCGATTAGAAGGACATTGAAATCACCGAAAATCAGACAGTGACCGTCACTAGTCCATCAACGCATATCGTCCAGAATGGCCACCAGGACTGTTGCTGGCGGTCCGTAGCACACTGAAATCAACGTTCATTTGTTGCAGCACAGTTTGGGTTTTGCATCACAATGATTCTCCCTGACCGTTAGGATCCGCGTAACTGTGGAGGTGGGTAACCGGCACTGTTTCATGGATGAACAGCATGACACGCCCACCCATCCTCGGTTGTTCTCGATCCGACCGGAACGACGCATACCCCGGAAGAGAAAATTCAGAGTCAAGAACGTCTGCGGTAAGCCAGGTTTCCGTGAGGGCGGTTATCACCGGAGAGTGCTCCATACAAAACGCCTTCAACTCGTCTCGTTTGTTCAGGACACTGCGTACATGGGCGGACACAATGTACGCACGGCCGCGCCCGTCGATGGAAAGCGTTGGTCCGTCCCTCCAGTTTACACCTGAGAAGACTTTCTGCCCGGTTTTGCAAGAGACCTCCGTCGGACATTTGGGCGCCTCCTCTGGACCCCAAAATCCCGCATGAAGAGATCTTGTTCACCATTGATTCGAAGTTTTTCTGCTTCAGCTTCTGTTGTTCGTCCGCATTGAGGTCGCGTAGTAGCCTGATGGGCTTCCTTTTCAGGTGGAAGGCGCGCTGGAATACGGAGCTGGTTTCCTTCGCCGATCCAAGAACGACCTTCGATTGAAGGGGTGCGCCGCCCTCCCGTTTGGCCCCCAGTCTGAAAGCGGCTTTAACTCGTATTACCTGGGCCTGAGTTTCCTCGCGAGGGACGAATAGTCTAGCCAGGACTCTTTGAAGCACGGATATGGTCGCGGTAAGCCGGGCTTGCGCCATGCATTCCGTAAACTCCGGCACATTAAAAGCTAGGAAGCATTGCTGTCTCGACGAGCGTTCTCGTCGCTGGTCTCCTACAACGGCCGGCCGGGCTACTAGCCCGAGGTTGGAGGACACTCGGGGTGCAGGCTGAGTCATGGGGTGTTCGGTGCCGGTTGTAACAGCACTGTGGCAGTAGCAAATAGGGCATACGATCCGGTGTTAAACAACGAAACTGGTAGCGACGGTGGTGACGGAATCAGCACGGGGCAGTAAATGCTTGGGATCGAAGCTCAATCGCTGTTGCTGCGCGACTCTCACTGTAGGTCGATCGGTCATTATTGGTTGCACGTCTGCGTCTACGTCTTCTCTGCTCATCGGCGGTGGCATTTCGCGGCACCTCGGCTGATACGGATTGCGTCATACAACCCACCGGTACACTTGCGGCCGGCAGAGGCACGTTATACCAACTGGCCTATAGTTCGTGGGCTTTTGCCTGGCGCCATTATTACATATACCATCAACCGTTGCCGTTTTCCATTGTCCAGGAAGTTTTCCCTCACTAATTGAGGCCGCGTAAATCAAAATCACGGATAGAGCTAGGATTTCGGCCAGTGGTTGAACTACGGACAGATGGATTCCATTTGGCCCAGCAGCTTCGTGGTGTGTAACTCTCCTCTGACACTTTCTTCTTCTACCCACAGCTCAGATATATCCGGCGAATTGTAGTTCCTCCGCCGGTCCCGGTCATCTTGGGTCTCCAGTGGTGAGCGATGTATCTCTTTGTACACTTTTAGTAGTGTTCTGGTTTTTTCCGGAGCTGTTAGTGCCAGTTGGCCACCCAGACCTAGTGCTGCCAGATTTTCTCTTGTTCTCAATTTAGGTTGTACATAGGCATTTAATCCTTTTGGACTCAACTTTACCGACCTGGCTAACCTACGCTCGAAACGAAGCTTCTCGTGTCTTTCAAAATCTTGGATATTTTTACGGGTCTGTTTATAGCTTTCATATGTCTGACTGATGCGGTACGTGGCGTACGCTGCCAGGTCAGTTCAGTCCAGTTTGGTTCATGGATCCAGGACTTGACGGTGACATGCCAACTTGTGAAGTTTGTTGCTCCGGTGGGCTCTTGGATCCCCCAGTGCTTCAACTTAACGACAGTAAGATCATCAGGGCATTGTAGATTCTCCGTTATCCTGCTTAGTGTAAGCTTTTTTCACAGACCTGCACGCATAAAAAACTCAAAAAATAAGTTGTTAGTGCAATGTGAAAAGGAATACCCCTAATTCAGTCACCGTGATACAACTCCTCTGGTGTGTTCTTCATTCCTCACCAAATATGTTACCCCATGCTCTGTCAAGCTGCAGCTTGAATTGCGTTACCGTGTCGACTTCTGTTACTTTGCTCGGCATTTTATTCCAATCATTT